GATAGCAAATATTTATAGCGTCTCTGTGTTATGTTCTCACCACACAATGTCAACGATCTAAGAAATTGTTGTTAACTTTCATTCATATATCTTTATACAAATATACACTTTAAAATAACTCGATTAGAAACTAGAATGCTATAAAATCAACCTACACTTCATGGTTCAAGACAGACTGGTCATTTACATACTATTGTAGTTCAGAAGCCATAAACAAGCTTGTAACCTGTTTAATCTGTAATTTATGGATCATTTTCTCGATCGAATATTGTCTTGAAATAGACGCAAATAACGGCAAATAGCTACTCATTGCCGGCCTATATGGAGGTTGTACCAAGCAATACGCAGCTGTAATATAAGTAAGGACTTAAGTCCTTCACACAGAATTCTACATAGATGTTAAGTTTCTTTGGCGCGGTCTATAACATCTCTCTTGCTATTTCTTTTGGTTGTTGCGGAAAAATGAAAACTCCTTTCTATATTATAATTATGACCAGTTATCCAAGATTTTTTAAATGTCTTTAATACTGGGGTTTTAGAAGTACAAAAAATTTTTTACTCGTATTTATATCCAAATAGAGGGTCGCAAGGCACGCAGGGCGCGCAGCCAGCAGCCACGGTGCGAGATTATCAAGAAAAGTATGTGGAATCAAGAATTTAGAAATGTCTTGATAAATCCTGCTTTATGAGATTATATTTACCACCAAGATTCGTAGCTAAAATACGTAAATAACACAAAGTAATGTTTACTTCTCACCTTACCTCATCTAATAGCAAAGTTATGTAAAAGAAAATTGTGCAATCAACAGTTAAAGCTGTACATTAATGTATATATTATATAAATCCATATCCTCGTGTCCGCAATCGTCAGATATAACATACATAATTAGATCGTCCATATAACTTCGTCACTTAAAGATCGGATTCTATGGTCACTCTTTTTTCCCTTGTTAGCCTGCATAATAAATCGCTAAATGCCTGGACGGGGTGAAAATGCACTACTTTTTTCGTCACGAGCTATCGTTTTAACACCTCGTTATACAAGAATTTTGTGCCCGTTGTTATATACAAATTAAGACTCGTCGCACATGTAATTTATTTTAATCAAATTAGCTGGTTATTACCCAAATTAAAATATATAAAGTAATAAATATCTGACAACATACCTACCATAGAAATATTACTTATATACTTCCGAGGACCGATACGAGCCGTTCAAAACGTAACAAACATTACAATGTAACTTCTAATAAAATAAACAGTTAGTCATGATGAAGATTCCCGTTCTACTTGAGAGATTCAGTAATATAACGATTACTATACTAACATACAGTAAAGCATTGCTACTTAATAGTAACAAACATAAATTGTAATCAAACGATATCTATAAAGTAATTTATGAAGGCAATCATACAGCGGAAGAGGAGCGGCTAAAATGAACCGAGGGCGAAACAATAGCCTTTCACGCTCGACTTTACCTTTGGTATGAGAACCGTTTCATGGTTGAACAGAAGCCACAGAGTCAGCGCAGGGCAGAGACAGTCAATGGAACACACAGCGTGAGATGAACTGTACTTTAGGAAAGTTTTAACTCGATGTTAATCGATTAGGTACAACATCGGTTACTTCCTATAGTTAATTGTCAACCAGTTGAATCGATTATCGTTTGTCAACGCTTAGTTAATTAAGAAAGAGTTTTGATTAATTTTAAGTAATAATACGGATAAGTTCTTTGTAGTTATCACAGTAGATTATAAACTTAGTGAATAACTTATGAATTAAATTGATTTTTTTCACCGCTTTATCCGTCTAGTCAGTAAACGTTGAGAAATAAAACATATATATTTCCAATGGGAGTAAAGATCCTGTTTGATATAAAGACCTGGTTGCTGCTGACAGTTCAGCAAGGCAAGCATGGTGTAGTAACAAGTAATAATACGGAAATGTTCAGCTGCAGTTGTTTCAGCGAATTAAACAAATGCCCAACGGCAAGCTCTCTCATCCTGACACCTGCGTTTGGTACAAGTGATCAGAGGATGGACAGATTCGTTCAAAATTAATATAATCTTTTTTGCTATGCATTTTAATTTGCATACAACTACTGCGTATAACTAAAATTTATTACTAGTTTATGAGAGTAGTTTTGATGTCGAATGCATATAACATAAAATAATTCATTTTAACTTGAACAATGATACATTGAATCACATATTGTGTTCTTGTATACTACATGTTACGAGCACTTCAACAAAAGAGAAAATTGCCTACTTAATTGCTGACATCAACTTTAACCTGCTAAACAACCGTTATAACGCGATAACGGAATAATAATTAATTACATGTTTTTTTTTATAATAGCAGCTTTGTTATGTCCGCATTGTTGAGGAGCGCTTCTCTTTACATCCCGAAAATAATTGCCTTCCTCGTTGTAATTTGTATAGTCACATATACTTTTTGAACTTTTAACATTTACTATTTAACGAAATTGATTTCCTTTGACATTACTTGACCTTTATTAGTTATAACTATGTCAAGTAAGGTGTTACGTGTCCATAGACACCCTAAAAATTACAGTTTACGAATGCGGTATTTTTACTTAAAATACTTCTTAAGAAATATACAATATTTTTTTCATGTAAAATTCATTTTGATCTCAACAGTTTTGACTGAGAATAAAAAGGAACATTACACAGGTGTCACTGCACTCAAACAATCAGTATAAAATACACGTGTTACATTTATTTTATCTTACTAAAACATTTAGCCTCTCTAAGCTCTCTACCGTACACCATTATTTTACGCGGTTATGTGGTATTGAGGTCATGTAAAAAATATTAAAAATTGTACCGCAAGAGAGCCATAAGCCATGCGATGGTATGCTGGGCACATTCAGCCCCCCGCTCGGCGACGGTGAGTATGCGGGGCACATTCGGCCCCCGACATGGGAATGCCCGGTACATCGCCGCGCCGTGAGCGTCATACTGAACGGTCGATGTTCGTTTGTTTACATTGTGTCTGTTGTCCTTCCGTCGTGAAGCAAGTTAAACAAAATAAAACACGAGATGAAATAAAAAAATACTGTCAGTCAAGTGATTAAATGGCTACGCATGACAAAATAAAAACTAAATGGAAATTAGAATATAAAATTAAGCTTCCAAGGTGCTATTTAAACCAAGAGCAATTAACTCTTTCCACTATTAATCAGTTGTGTTTTTTATTCAATTAATGTTAAATAATAAATTGTAACTGTTAACAGTTAATGGTTGGATAGACGAGTTTCTAAGGAATACCATTTTCCTTAGTAAAAACGTAAATAACGTTAATTAAATACTTAACTAACGTTGATTATAAAATATATATTGTTATAATGACTAGTTATAATTTGTGTTGCTGTACAGAACAAGCGCAATACAATTTTAATTGTAATCGCTGCGATCAAGCAGTGGCATTACTTTGGCTCGGCCGGTCTTTGAATAACGCCGACTGATGTCGATTGTCGATCGCTTATCGATCCTCTGATCCCGATAGATGGAGCTCCAGCGCCCGACACCTGACGATACTTACTATGTTACTGTTATTCACATTATTAACCATATTTTCATCTAGTAGCATTTGTGGTTTTTACTTCACCGCACTTACTGAAGTATATAAGTATTAATATATTATTATTTATCAAAAGAAAAGCTTTAAATATCAACTTTAATGTGTACATCCAACAGGATTTTATATTAATTTATGTCTCCATGTTGTTGCCAGTGCGTGGAGTAGAGCTAGTTTTTAGATAAATCCCTTAAATTACACGCGATTGGAGTTGAATTATAATTAGCACATAACTTGTCTCGCTACAAACCTGCAGGAGCGCGGTGAGGGGGGGGGCGGATTGCGCCCGCGCATCCTAATTGCCCGCCGACTACGAGATAGCTATCATGTGCATTACGTTCATCTTATCTCTGATTTAATCGATGTCAGAGTTAAATAAAAGTGTTTTTATTTATTATCACTTGACTTACTGTTCTTAACCTTTTGTAATAAATCCGGTAGTAAATGATTTGCGTAAAATCACTGAAATCCTTTAAATATACTAATAAGTATATATTTGTAACAATTGAATGTATAAATAAAAGATATAGATAGAGTATAGAGATATATAAACGTAGATTGTAGCGGCAAGAATAAATGTAAACGCACTTTGCGCCGCTACGCATTGTTTTCAAGAAAAGTTCTTGAAGTGACGCCATGTCCATCTCTCGACGACATTCCACAATAATCACAAAGACGATTATAATAAAATGTATTCAAGAACGCGTGCGATTTCTAATCGATCGGTCAATTAATTTTACAGCTCCAGCATTTAAAGTGCCAGCATTTAATTGCTTAGAAAACTTGTTGTAACTCGTTTTGTGCGACTTTCCACCCACCTTGTGTTGTGTAACACGTTCGGGAATTAATTACTTTGTTGTTGACAATACATTATTGCTATAGAATATATTAACCGGTCTTCTTCTTCGCGGCAACAACACTGCAAAAAATTACCTTCGTCAAAGTTGATATTTAATGAGACAGATTAATTAATTGTTGTCATATGTTTAACAACTTCATACAAACTGGCCATACATACTAAATACGTTATCGAAAGCCGCACAGATTATAGAAGTACATACTTAATATGTACAATATAGAAATTAAACAAAAACACAATCGGCATAATTTCTTCAAAAGACAACATTAATCTCGGACAATTGAACAAGTGAGCATTAATCATGAGATAACCACTAAATCATTTGGAGCAGATAAATCAATCGATGCAGCGGCGACCCGACCGCCGACTGACACGTCACGATCCCGACCCGACTAGCAGCAGTATTGATGGACCGACACCGACTTGAACTGATTCTTCATTCAGATAACACCTGCTTCCTTAACATAACATACATAAATGTTTTTCTTTTATAAGGAGATTTTTTGAAACACATTCTTAAACGCTTTCTGTTTGTTTCCAGACCCGTATGCCGCAACTGCGTGGTGTCGCCGACGGGCTCATCCCCGCCGCCGCTGCACGAGCAGGCAGTTTCGCCCCCGCCGCCCGCGCCGCCCTCCCCGGGCGCCTCGCCCCCCGCGCCCCACGTACACCCAGCTCTGCCCTCTCCGCAGCCCAGCCACAGCGGCTCCTCCGCACCGAGCCAATGCAACTCACCCCACCCCTACTCCTATCCTAACTTTCGGCGCAGTCAGCCGCCGCCGGGCCAGGCGTTCCCGGAGTACAACCTGCTGCATAGCCATAGCGTGTCCCAGCTGCACCAACCCGGCCAGAGTTACCGGTCGCCGCAGTCCCCGCAGTCCGCCATGTCGCTCTCCCCGCATCCCGCACCTCAGGGCAAGCTGCGCGGCCTGCTGGAGCACGCCGAGCGGCTCATGAAGCCCGGGGACCCCCACCGCCACTCGCAGAGCGATGACGACTCCGGATGTGCCCTAGAAGAGTACACGTGGGTCCCGCCCGGACTTCGACCTGAACAGGTGAGAATTACGGTTCTCGTATGTTATGGAAAAAATGCATGTGAATGTTGTGCTATTCGCTGCCGAAAAGATACTCGTCCCTACTACCAGGATTGGTGCCAGCTTTAAAACAGTAACCAGGGCTTGTAGGTGAGAAGAGTATTGCAGACGAGGTGTAAGTTTGGGCATTGAACTTTAAATCATACGATGGCAATATTATGTCTAGATAAATCGTTGAGATCGCGCAATCATATAAATAACTTACATATATGAATAAAGTTTTCAATGTTCGATATTCTGATCACGTTCTAAAATCTCGCAGCGGTAAACGGTCGCAGCTAGCTCGTCTGAACATCTGTTATTAAAGCCACAAAATGTCCAAGCTATTGCGGAATAACTTACATTTCGCGGCTGCATAATTCCGCGCATTATAAAGTTGAAAATCCCGTGGCACATCAATCGAAACTACAGCCATTGTGGAGAAATTGCAATAGACATTTGAGACGGCTTCGGAGGACTTCTTCAGCCCTTTGTTTCCACAACAAAGCTATTGTTTAAAGAGTCTACTTATTTTCGACGTTTGTTTGCGGTTGTAGAGAACTATTCTCGAGCTCCGCCCGTCATTTCGAGCAACGTTTTGAACAGTTCCATCGTTATTAATATTCACATCAAACAATACTTTTGCCGTCGACAGGTTCTCGATGATTGCTACATTTATACTTCGCACAACTATGATATTTTAAAACCACAAAACAAAGCGAAAAGAATGTTTTCTTACTCTATCTTTTAGCAAAAATACCTTCTTGATTTAGAAAATAATTACAGTTATTGTTTTACTATAAAACTTACAAGCGCACGTGTTTAATGATTTTGTTACAGTTTCGTATTCTATTCTTATCTCTAAGTATTTAAATAAATGACACAAAATGATTATAATTTCGTGACACATATTGCTTTCGAACGATTAGCGATTATCCTCCCTTTGCCGGTCTCCATCTAAATGTGATTTGTGCGTCCGACTGTCATCTGTCATTATTTACACATTAACTGTTGCGCAGTTCTCGCTCAGAAGTAAATGTTGATGTCTCGAATTAGGTAACAAATAATTTGATCATTTCTCGTCCTAATTTCAGTTCTTGTGATTACAATAATCCCAATTACGAATATAAATTACGAAATGCAAATCATGGAAACTTAATAACGAATTTAATGCGATCAAATATTAATATTTTAATATATTTATAACCATGTAATATTTATTTCTTTGCTTTTAAACAATTCAACGTAATGATAAACGTTGCACAAACTTTACCATAAAGTAAATAAACGTTGAAACCTTTCGCACTCTGAGTATTTGAGAGGATCGTAAAGTTTAATGCTTTGAATACAAAATTAGATCGCGGCATTTATAATTACTACAAAAATAAAGTAATAAGAAGCTCGAATCGGGAGGCAACGGAGCAAAAAATTAGAATGTTCCCGAGGGGCGCTCCTTGAGCCACTCCCTCCAATACTACACTTGAGGTTACGGAGCCGTGCTTACGCAAATGGACGACGAATTAACTCGCTTTTTCCTGACGCTCCATATTCTTTAGGGTTAAATATAATAGATTCCGTTTCTTTTTGACATCAACGTAAATATTTCGTATTGTGCAATATTTATTTTTCTATGCAAATAGCTTTGGATAAATTTCTTATTCACTACATGTATAATTGGCGCTTTGAATTTTGTTAACAAAACAAAATAAGTGTTTTATCTTGTTAATTGTGAAAATATAATAACATAGTTAGCTTAAAATTAATTGAATAATAGTGAGAATATTTCGACTAAGTGAGTTATCATGTAACTCGGCTTGGTTTAAAGCTGTTTAGAGTTAAAAGTTGTCAAATCACGATATCCGTATCTGAACCGAGACGACCGTTAGTTAAATAAACAGTAAGTAGCACTCACAACATTATGTCAAAGAAGATTTGAATTTCTTTTATAATAACTTCAGGTATCCCTTGTTCGCAACTTGTATAACATCGAAATATTCACGTTTTATTGACATATGATTACTTCTGACGGCAACATTGGTCACATTATATATGTCATTTAGTATATAAACCTAATATAATTAATATTTTTATTCTCTTCAAACAATATGTTTATGTATTTTTCAGTAATTTATAGAAAATCACTACGTTGCTTGTGATATTTATAAAAGTTAACAAAAACAAATATCTTCCACACGGCAAATGTTAATATATTTAGAATAAAACCACATTATGTTATTGAATGACCATTGAAGTCTTAAACGCTACCATATACGATAGCGATGAGCCTGGAAAGGTAAAATGCAATCACACGTCTCTCCCCTGGCCACTGGACACTGGCAATATTTATAGCTCGTATTTACGAGTGCCCGCTTACTATACCAGTCGGAATGCAAGCTGCTGTAATGATAGTTTCACACGAGGACAGCTCAGGGAAACAGAACAGTACCGCTATTGTCTCGGCGTGTGCTTTGAAACAATAATTGCAGTACTGTTTTTCCTACTGTGCTGCCCTCGTGTGAAACGAGCACAACTCAGGTCGTCATCTCCAGTCCGAGCACGTAAGGTTTTCATTAGGCAGCGCCGTGTCGTTATTACGAAGTGACATTATTGTGCGCGGAGATTATCATAAAACATTATTATTAATAATGTTTCATTTACTTGGATATTATTTTGGGAGATATTATTACAAGCTTCTTTTGTTTCTTCTTAATTAAAACTAAATATCGTGTTTCAGTGGGACATATTAAATATTCGAAAAATAACTTTGGATATTGAAATATTTAGTAATAGACAACGAATAACTTTCTTTAAAATCGTTTTCGTGACAAAATAAAAGTAAAACCGTACTCAAAATACTCAAATCGCTTATTATTATGATATAAAAAATGCATACCAAAAGAAATTGTTTCAACTTGGGGTCACGAGTTTTTGAATAGGAAAGTACATTCCTGTGGGGCCAAGGGTTAGTGTCGGGTGGCAGCAGGTGAAGTGTTCACTTTGTACTGACTACCGTTAATAGATGCGGCTGTTTAAGATGCCGCGGCACGTCTCACCAGCGCGACTAGGATTTAGCCAGGCATCACTCAAATATTTATAAGATTAAAACAAGACAGAACAGGCTGTATTCACATATAAAAGTATCATTGTTTTGATATAATTGCCAACCAATTTAAATATATCGAGGCGAGATAATTGTATCGATAGATTCGATCGATTGAAAACTAGTTTACCGATTCATACTAAAAATATAACGTTTTGCGAGTAATGTGGCACAATATGTAACGTAATGTTGAATGACAAACTTATGTACATACCGTCTCGTGTTACGCAATTGACGTCTGCGACCAACTAGATAAGAGCGAAATCTGGATTTGTATAGGACAGGATACTGATTACCTAGACTTATGTAAGCTTGTAACACTGATGTAAATATTTTAAACATTGCATTACTTAATCTCTTGAGAATTGTCAGCTTTGTTGTGTATTAATGTATTTGTGACGTATGTTGCAGGTGCACCTGTACTTCTCAGCGCTGCCAGAGGACAAGGTGCCTTACGTGAACAGCGTGGGCGAGCGCCACCGCCTCAAGCAGCTGCTGCAGCAACTGCCGCCACAGGACAACGAGGTATGCACTTTGCATCCTGCACAATCCACTCTGCAACGCATAATCTGTTCCATTAAACTGCAATGAGTCGCGGCAACACATGGAGTTGGCTGATAGTCATTAGTTAATATCTATTTTTAAGTCACTAGCAACTATTTCCAATCTTCATATGTACTTATTGACACAATGTTTACAAGTATGTTGTTACTACTTCAGGTGCGATACTGCCACGCGTTGTCGGACGAGGAGCGCAAGGAGCTGCGGCTGTTTAGTGCGCAGCGTAAGAGAGAGGCTCTCGGTCGCGGTCAGGCGCGCCAGCTGCATGCACCAGCGCCATGCGAGAGGGTGAGTACAGAACATTCGAGCACATTGATTTACTGTTTAACTTACTCGTCTAGTTGTCCTAAGTAAACATAGTGGAGTAGAGGACGTCCACAAATCACTCCAGTTCAATCTATCTTGAAATAAAAAATGTAGTATACTTAAGTGTACCTCCTGTGATTAAAGTAAATTGTAATCTTGAATTACTTTTTTCTTTTGTTTGGTAAAGCACAAAATGTGCTAGAAAATCTCCGTCTGGACAATTTGTCGGCCAGGTCCGGGGCGCGTCACGGCCGCATTGCGGACTTCCTTCGCGCTTCCGACCGCGACGACGACACGATTTATGTTTTAGATAGGGAAGCTTTAAGTAAATGACGACAAATTTCCTCACTGCCTGATTTACATATTTTAAAGGAATTTACGGATTTCCACGTTACAACAACTCTATAGAAAACGACTAAATTTCTTGGCGTGTCAATGCAGTGCACTGCGGCCTTGTATATATGATCTCTTTGCAGCTAATATTTGTTATATGAAATTTTATCAAGTTCAAACATTAGAATTGAGAAATTATTTGCGTTTGTTTTTTAACTTCTTCTTATTTCTTAGAAATAAATTAGGTACAATTAAAACCTTTATATTCTTTCCGAAATCCGCTATCGCTTTTTCATTTGCCTTAAACACGTTCCCCAGTGACGCAACATTTTAATTCCACGCCACATAAATCATAGGACGCCCTCTCGTGACACAAAGCGGCAACTGATTCTTTGAGCTGGTTCATTCTGTATCGTAACATTTATTTCATATTCTTTGAATTATTCGTATTTTTATTTTGTAATTAAATATATCAATAATTAGGATATTATTGCATTGATATAATAATTTGAAAAATTGTTCATAAAATAAATGAACATTAAAATGTAGAAATCAATAAATTTAATAATAACTAAAAGAAACTGACAACGAAAGTATTAGAACAGACTATTGCGTTCTAACGACGTATAATAAAAGAAGATTAATTTACTGAATACTTAAAACATTCAAAATTCATTAATGTGATTAAAAACTTGATTGCCTTCATCCCCAAAATGTAGTCAAACTCTCCGGGAATAGTGACACAGAGGGCGCTCGCTTCGTCGCCGCCATTGCTTATTTCTACATTTCTTTTAATTGACAAAGTTTTTTGCTATTTTTTACTGACGCAACAAAGTTTGCCTTCGATATAACTTTTGACTTTTGACCGTTACTTTGCCTTATGAATATTAATCACGCAATTACGTTGATGAAATAAAAAGGGAAAAGAAAGATGAAAATTAATAAATGTTGAAGGAAAAAAATTTATTACAAATTTTCGTCTGACTAAATATTGGAACTTTTTTAAATTATTATAATTTTAATTTCAAAGCACATACAAGAAAGAACTTGTGCTTATGTTACTCTTATTACTTACACAATGTTTCTCTTCATGGTTTCCATAGTACATTAAATATTTCAAATAATAGCGCTGTGACAGCGACATCTAGCGGTACAGCGCAATTAATGTAATAAAATCAAGATGCGCGTAAAATTAGTTTGTTCTCCTTGAAGAAGCAATGACGGGGTTGTAAAGAAACTTATGAAAATTTTGAGTCTCTTCCCCCTGCCTCGGCCCTCAGTTTAAGACTAATTAGCGCTTAATGTACTGTAACGGAAACTGAACTTCCCCGCGCTTTACCTCTGCGGTTTATATTACTTGATTTCCTTATTCACATTTTTTCTTTACTGTTCTTTCCTTTTTACTTTGCTTTAAAATATTTTTACGACGTACATTAATATGTTTAAATGTAGCTATGGTTAATATCCGTAATATTAAATCAGGCGCGCAACTTGTACGTTTACGACAACAGAGGTCGCTAATGGATTAACTGAGCTGCTTATTGTACGCGCATGTTTATATTTCAAACGAGATAGAAAACAGTAACACAAAGATGCGTTATATATTATTCATGAATTTGTGTACTACGAAATTAAATTGAATATAATTTTGATGTAAATTTCTTTGAGATTTGAGACTTTCATTATAACTATTTTTTTTATAATAATTAATCGTCTGACTAAACATCGGTACCACAATATATTGTCATTCTTTTTACTCTCTATAAAGAAAACAGAGCTAACAATATATACTGGAGTTTCGAGTAATCTAGTAACTATTGTTAATCATTCTTTAAGAACAATGTGAAAGAACACAGAAAGAGTTAATCGTAACCTCTCATTGTTGCGTATGTATAAAGTCTGTCCTTTGTGTTAAGGAATCATACACTACAAAGGAATGTTTAGAAACCGCGCGGTTAACAATCAAAGTACGAAAAGAACCTTTAGGTAGAAGTATAGTTGTGTTTTACTCCAAGAAAATGTAGTCTGTACTTTATTATTATAAGAATGAAGAACGAATGGTTATTTGTAAACATACATAAGTTTTCTGAACATGTAGTGACGACTTTTTTGAACATCCCGTATTATATAATATAATACAATTTAAGGCCTCTCCACGTGTGGTCGGCGGGCATTAGACAACCACGTTCATCTACTCAGTGACAGATAAAGGGGTGAAGTTATTTTGTAGCCGGTGTAAATGTAACTTTGAAACGAGTTTTACTTTAACACGATAATAAGAATGTTAAGTAGTTTTTTTTGTTGAATTCCACACAATCGTAAATAAGACAATCCAATTCTATGTAATAATATCCTGTGATTTTTTCATAAAAATATTTAAAAGGAGTTTAATATAATGATAACTATAACTATACGTACATAAAACGCATGTTTTTCATCTCGCTATTATGACAATGGCAACGCGCCGTATCTTTTATTGTTATGAAAATCTTTATGGATATTAACGTTTCCCAGAAATGAGAGAAAGTCTCGTAAACACAATCTTTCCCTACTTTCGCTGAAGATAAATCGCACAACTTGTGGCGCCCTCTTACGTGCCGCGCCTGATTTATGGTTTTGAGTAATGACTACATGTTGCCAACAGATGGCGCTGGCGAGTTGTTTATTGCGCACGTAGATTTATCGCCGAGGGGATTCGCAACTCGCAAACAGCTGTTCCCATAGCAAAGTTTTTGCTATAAATGAATTATTAATACTTACAGATGTAACTGCATAGCACAAGTTCATTTCTGTACCAAGATATACTATATACCTTATGCCGTGATTTCTTGAGTTAATAGAAACCAAAATATCTAGTTACAATATAAGCATTTTCCAAATATCAACATTATTTTTTTATTGATCACGGCCGTTGTTTTGTTTTGTCGTCAGGCACCTAACTCTGTTATATTTTTTTAGTTTCTTTATTAATAACGTAAAAAAATATTTTATAAATCATATATATTTTAAACGTAACAAGTTGTCTTTTTGGCTAGCTCTTATTATTTTTTGTCAATGATTTCATTTAAAAACTATACTATAGAGAAGATATATAAAGAAGTTTTTGATCTATAACTATAGTTCGTTATAGATCAAAAACTTCTTTAAATACTTTCGAGAAAATATTTTTTCACAATCCTTTTATTTATCCTTTTTAGTTCTTGTATGGCAAGCAACATGTAGTAAATTTTAAGTGTCCCGCCATCTATCGGAAATTAAGTCAATTGCGACAAGGATTGACTTTTCGACTTGGTTTAGATGTTTCTGCCAGTTGTCACGAGATGGCGCTGCCCTATGACATTTGACACGCATTGTGAATTTCTTTCCTAATTTCTCATATAGATGGCGTAAGAAGCACCATATTTTTTAAGTTTATGTATCTAAAACTAGGTGTCGTTACCAGCAAGTTTACCTTTATATGTAAACCAAAGAAAGTTTATGTATTCATTATTATTTTACATCGGCTATAAAAGCGTGAGCTAAAGCCTTTCCTCGAAGGTGTGAAAATGATTTTTGTTCTTCGTAGAGGTACATTTTTTTCTTAATTCTGTAGTTTAGGCGTGGGAACCGGGCAGCGGGGCAGGTAGCATCCATTCATCGCATTATGTGGGATAGAGGCGGACAGACAGACAGACAGAGCACTCGTTTTGTATCTACGGTCATTGTGTAGTGTGTACGTGCTCCGTGCCTGGCGGAGGTCGCAGAGCGACGTGGCGTTTGTTTATTTTCCTTCATACGACTTATTTTGCCCTTTTGTTTTATTGTTTACTATTATTGCTATTGTTCGATGTGACTTACAAGTTTACAAATAATTATTAAACAAATATGTACACAAAATACAGTTTTCTAGAAAAAAATTGCTTTAGTAAGCTTTGTAAATAAAATCACTGCTATACATCGATACAAATAACTAAAACATACATGAACATACATGACACGTATTGCTATATGTACTTCGTCACAAGTCAAAATACGCGATATGTTACAGTTAAATAATTTAACTTTTTGCGCGTAATTCTAAAGACATAATAAACAATGAATAAATAAAATTTCGAGATAAAGAATCGTGTCATTAGGACATTGTACGGCGCGACAGCCATTGCAGAGTCAGCGACGCGGCTCGTCTTGTGGCAAGTCTGCAATGGTCTGCAACACGCTGACGTTGCTGCTACAATTACCACATTACAAACAAATGATTAAACTGAATTAGTACAACTGACAAATATTGAGCAAAACACTTTCGAAACACCTTATTTGATTGAGATCAGAGTTACAATAATTATAGTTTTGTACACGATGCAGAACATTTTTTTTGGTTATATACTTACTTAGTAGATAGAGGCTTTAAAGTTATTAGCTGCGTACAATATAGTAATTAATTTGTTAGTGAAGTTTTAGTGCGATTCAAGCAGTAAGTAGGTCGTGGTCGGAGGCAGGAGCGGTTCATTCATCAGTGCATCATGAATGGAGCCGCTATATTTAGCGTTCCGGGAACACGCGCATAAAGAAAGGAATTCCTCTTGCGTTTTACACCTTCCCCTCCCCTCCCTTACCCCGAACCGGAGCGTTGTGGCTCTACGGCACGTCGCCTACGTAAATGTGACTGTTAA